AAATATTAAAATAATCAATTTTTTGTATTAAGGCCATGTGACAGAAGTGCACTTTTTTGGAATATCAACTATACTCTGAAATGAAAAGAGATTTTGGGCTCAAATTTTGAGAGATGATAGGGGAGTGTATAAGCGATGCGCCCTCTTCTACAAATTTACATTAATTTTGCGGAAAAACGATAAAAATCAAGCAATAAGTGGCAAATTGATGCATTTTTTGGTTCACTCAGCAGCCGTCAGTTGGTAATATGGCGCCACTTCCTGGGCGCACAATATACACACGCGACGTCTGTGATCTCGGCGCAATGTTTCTTTTCAAATTCCTTTAAAAATGAAATTTTTATAACTTTTATTTTTTATGTTTTCACGAAATATTATCTTTTGAACCGTGAAGAGCGCTCTTCCTTGTACGCTTCTCTGCCATGCCTAAAAATTACAGCCTGAAATCTTTTCTCAGTTCAGAGAATACTTGGTACTAACAAACCATGTTTTTCCCCTATTGGTCACGTGGGAATTTATCCACATGGCCGTAAATTCTTTTTTTTAATTTGGTAAAAATTAATGTTTCGTTTGTTGAAAGTTTACAATTTTAATCTTTGGATGAATTATTGCATTTTATTTTAATCCATTTTGGTATAATATACCAAATAATATAATACCTCACAATTTACTGTGTATCTCCTATGGTTTCCAAAAGATTAATTCAAAAATTGTTGACCAATTAAGGCGAAGGACAATGGTTTTATCAGTACCTTATATATTTTATGTAAAGAACTCTTAAATACAATAATCAATTAATATTTCAACATATTAAACTCTTATAAACAATTTATTATAATGAGATTATTTTTATTCTGAAATATTTTGACCTACTTTGTTTTAAATAGAGTTTTGTTAAATTGTTATTTTGAGAAAGTAGGTATGGTATTTATTTTCCAATGTGGAAACTATTTCTGATGATCTTTATGTATATTAATGTAAATAGTGGCAATGAGCCAGTAGGGCGTGAATGACAAGTATCTTGAAGTAATATATTCGCGCACTATTGTAAAGTATAAAAAAATTTTATAATGTGCTATTTTTGAAATTGAAAACAATTTTAGACAATCACAAATTAGAAAACGAAATTTGAAAAAATTGATAAAATTTACTTGAAACTTTCTGGGGTCGATAATTACAAATCTAGACTTAGTTTTCGAAAATTCAAAATGGCGAATCAAATATGGCGGAAACTTCTACTGTTCAAATCGAAATAAGTGTATTTGCATCAGGGATAAGTTTTTTTTTTCGTCACTAATGGGGCAGTAGTAACTAGGTGACTCCCCCTCAATGCAGATACGCTTATTTCGGCAGACTTATTACTTGGGAGTCTTTGGGGTCACTGATTACGAATCTGATGTCAATTTCGTAATCAGCAACTTCAAAAACCCCGTAGATAATAATTTTAATAAATATAATAAAAAAATTCTTAGTTTCACCCATTTAAAATTTTTAAAAATTTTAAATGGGTGTATACCTATATGTAATTACAAAAAGCAACATAAATTTTTTTGGAAAAAGGCCAAAATATTGTGAATACAATATATATTCATACCTACGGACATGATGAATTGTTGCGGTGGTTTCTATAGATTTTGCGAAAATATATAACCTTTTATAGAAAGTTCACTGTTGTCGCATATTCTCGCAGACTTTCTGTCGCGACAAGGCGACAACCGCACTATTTTTATTGCCAATCTAACATTAACTGAAACGAAAGAGAGTCGAAATTCTTCAACAACTCTCTCAAACAGTTTTCAACCCTCTTTCTGAACTCCTGTTTCTAGGCAACCGTAGGACGTAAATGCTCCCTGCTTTTGCGCCGTCAGGATTCTGCATTGCACGCACTTGATAAACATGCAGAATATATATTTCTACGCCACTGGTTAAGAAATCACAATTGCCTACTGTAAGGGGCTACAGATTTTCTATATATGAAAAAAAGGACGCAAGAATATTTCCCACATTAGACCAGAAGGAATTTTTGAATTTTTATTCAGCAAAATTTTCAAAATCGTCAACAGTGGCATAGTGAGGAAAACTTTTAATTTTTGTGTCAAAATCTTACAACTTTTGACAGAATTAATATAATTTAATAAGAAAAAAAAATGGAGATGAAAGCTGTGACTAGAGGAAAAATACGAAGAAACTTTTAAAAATAAATTTTAACATAAAAAATTATGCAAAGTTGGAATTTCATTAGAGAAAAAATTGGTTTTCAAGGTACTGCGAATATAAAAATGTTGAAATCATTATCATTGTCGACTATACTTACTTACTTCATGATGAATACGAATCCGATGCCAGAATTAATGAAAAAAAAATCGAGGAATATAAATCCGCCATGTCTTTTTGATAAAATTTTAAAATGCTTTGGATTTAAACAACAATCACTTTTTAAATGTTTTTGGCGTCGCTAATAACGAATATGACCTCAAAAAATCAAAATTTAAAATGGCGGATCCAATATGGCCGACTAAAATTATGAGCGACCCTAAAAACATAAAAAAATATTAGTTTTTTGTTTAGAACAAAAGCATTTTGACAATTTTAGTCGACCATATTATATCCAACACCAAAAACATTTAAAAAGTGAGTGTTGTTTAAATCCAAAGCATTCTGACATTTTATAAAAAAAAAAAAAAAACATGGCAGATTTATATTTCTCGATTTTTTTTTCATGATTTCTGACATCGGATTCATTATATATATCAATTCTGTCAAAAGTTGTACGATTTTAACACAAAAATTAACAGTTTTCCTCATTGTGCGGGGCTATTCTGTCATCCTAGGGGCTATTATGAACAACGCCAGTTTTTAATATATAAAATCTTTGTTTTCAAATATTTGAAATTGTCGCTTCGAGTAAATATTGTCTGATTGTTTTTCTATAGAGGGCACTAAATGTACACGGAGAGAAATAGATGGTACGAGGTACTCTACACGGAAAAAAAGAAAAAGTAATTTTTACTATACTTTCATAGTAAAACGGGAACTGTCCGAAGTTTCTGCGCATCTCTGGCAACTTTTACTCCAAAAATAGTAAAATTTAATTCAGAAATAGTAAAAATTACTACGGAACAGTAAAATTTACTACAAAAATAGTAATTTTTACTATTTTACCATTTTTGGAGTAAAAGTTGCCAGAGATGCGCAGAAACTTCAGACAGTTCCCGTTTTACTATGAAAGTAGTAAAAATTACTTTTTCTTTTTTTCCGTGTATCTATATAGAACGCATGTACCTTTTTTGATCTTACATATATACAGACAGCTATCTAGATTCTATCAGTGGCTCAAAATTTCTGAAGTGGGCCACTAATTTTTCGATAGCGAGATTTTTATAAGTCATATCAATAATTTTATAGTATTTTCGAATCAAAATAAGATCCTAAAGTTATATTGCAAAATTTTAATTTTTTTAAGAGTTATTGTTTAAACAATTTTTAAGCAGCCAATTAGTAAAAAAAGATTTTCTACGGTTCCATTTGATGGATTTTGCTGAAATTTGGTATGAGTAATGTACAATAACCATGCTTTCAAATAAAAAAAATTTGTTTCATTTTGTTCATAATTTGTTGAAAATAGCAACAATTATTATAAACAAATGAAAATTTAATAACCTTCTGCGCCTAATTTCGTATTTTTTCTTGTCAATTATGATTCCCTATTTTATCACGACTATTTAAAAAAAAAAAAGTCAGTATATTGCATTAGGTCAAAAGTTATTAATATATTTGTGATCGCGGTCCGAGAACTAAGTGGAACGCCGCGCCGGACGAATACGCTGAAACACGTTAGAACACGAGCGCACTCTTGGACCTTGCTGTTCTTTTGAGTGCATGTGTATAATTTAATTTTTAAATTCATATTTATTTGTAATTTCCCTTACTATTAAAAAATTATATCTGCATAATATTTAATAATTTTTCTATTTGTACAGAATATTTTGTATACGTAAGTATTTTAAATGCCTATTCGTTCACGAGTATTTTAAAGTTTATTGTTTATGAAAATTATAACCTTATATCACAAATATTTTTCACACTCTGCTTCTATTTCTCATGAAAAATAAAAATGCCGTCACCAAATGTATGCTGCAACCCCTTGTTAAAGAAAAATCATAGACGTGTGATGAAAAACCTTAATTTAGTGACTGAAAAATTTGATAAAAAATTTACTAATCTTGTCGGGAAGTATATTTGCACGTCATGTAAATTTATTAATAATAATAATGCAAATATACTTCCCGACAAGATTAGTAAATTTTTTATCAAATTTTTCAGTCACTAAATTAAGGTTTTAAATTTGTATTATTATTATTATTATTATTATTATTATTAAATTTACATGACGTGCAAATATACTTCCCGACAAGATTAGTAAATTTTTTATTAAATTTTTCAGTCACTAAATTAAGGTTTTTCATCACACGTCTATGATTTTTCTTTAACAAGGGGTTGCAGCATACATTTGGTGACGGCATTTTTATTTTTCATGAGAAATAGAAGCAGAGTCTGAAAAATATTTGTGATATAAGGTTATAATTTTCATAAACAATAAACTTTAAAATACTCGTGAACGAATAGGCACTTCCTTTACTTAATATTTAAAATTCGTCCGACATACTGAATCCACCATTTTGTATTTTTGAATATATATACTTTAGATTCGATTTTAGTAACTCAAAAAATTCCTGAATAACAAGTTTTAAGTGGCCGATTTCACAAAATCAAAAATTTTTGGGTTTTTTGGAAAAACAATTTTTGGATTATTTTTTTAATATTGTTTTACTTCCTTTTCTATATATAATATATTTAAATTTTATTAAAATCGGTTCAGTAGTTTTCGAGAATGAATTTTTTAAATTTTCTATCATCCCTGAAAACTGAAAAAATGCAATGGGTTTATATATAAAAATAAAAATTCGAGATGATTAGTATTTTCAATTTATTAAATCCCAAATTACAAAACGCACTTTTAAGCGTTCTGTCGCTTATTATTGTCATGTCATAATTTTTACAAAACAAAGTCAGTTAAAAACACTGATTTTTTTAAACAATATAGTAGTATGTATATATATAGTATTGTATAATTTGTATATATAATCAATCGTCTTTGTTTCATTAAAATACTTTATAATTAATGTTGTATATTAGACGGCATTTAGAGGTATAAGCGCATATAATTATATATTATTCACAATAAATTTCTTTTCGATGACATAAAAGTCGTTTCATTTTATATATTTCTTAAATATCTTTTTTCTTTGATTATAAAAATTTTGTCACAAGAAAATTTGCCACATAAATACTTACACAATTATTGTAAACTTAAATGTATTTTTTTTTTTTTTTGAAACTCGCGTATTTTGAGAAGGCATTGTTTTTGCTTATTTCTAATATGTAAATATATAACTAATTTCTTAAAAAATGAACACTTATATGTAATAAAATTAACATTTAAATTTATAATTAAATAACAAAAAAAATGTGGCAGTGATTTGTACTGTGTATATATACAATAAATATGATATATTAATTAGAATAAAAAAATGAGAAGAAAGAAATATAATACACTTTTTTTGTTTTTGTAAAGCACGTCAAACTCTATGTAATATAGAGTGTTCCAAAGCACTATATATAATGTAAAACTTTTAAATTGTGACAGATAGCAAACATACTAACAATCCTAAAACAAATTGCACCACTGAATTTGGACTGCTTGCAGAGGAGCCGAGAACTTAAAATAAGAAAATTAAAGATTTCATTAATACTATCAATATAGTTGCTCTGAAAAATTTTATTTTATTACTATTGTTACTGTCAACAGGGGTAAATATGTACATCATCTCAGGGGCTATTATACCCATCTCCAGCGTTCTCAAGGTTCTTCTTCTTCTTCTTCGCAGGTTTTATAGGGTTGTAATAAAAAAAAAATTGTAAAGTTCAAAAGCCGCGGGACCGTGGTTTTTATGGTGTAAAAATGATGGAAATTAAAAAAAAAAGAACAAATCGTTTGATCCCACGGTTTTGGTTCACCGAAAATTTATGAGCGAGGCGCATGATTTTTCCCAAAAATTAAAAAGTTTGAAATTTTAATTGATCGAATTACTTTAAGTCGATATTTTATTTGGTCGAAATTCTAAAAGAACGACAGTTATGAAAATCGACATTTTATTAAGTCGATATTTTATTTGATCGAAATTCTAAATGATCGATATTTAAAGTGGTCGACATTTTATTTGGTCGATATTTTGTTTATTCGAAATTCTAAATGATCAATATATAAAGTGGTCAACAATTTATTTAGTCGATATTTTATTTCGTCGAAATTTTAAATGGTCGATATTCTAAATGATCCATATTTAAAGTGGTCGATATTTTATTTGTTAGATATTCTAAATGATAGAAATTTAAAAGCATCGAATTTTATATCCATCGAAATTTAATTTGGTCGATATTTTGTTATTATTTTATTTTTATTATGATTTACATCAATAATTTCAAATTTCCCGCAAAATTTCAATGTACTTTACCGACAATCTAGGGTGTTTTCGACGTTGACACTCTGAGCGCTCTGAGAGCTCGAAAAGGTTCTCAACCACATTTTATTATTTTAGTTTATTTAACCTAACCTAATCCAATGCAATCTTCTCATTTCGCTTTCAAGACCGGTGAAGACCACGCTGTTGCATCATGGAGGAAAGAATAATTTTAAATGATTTAGTTTTAAAGAACAATAAAACATTATTCAAGAATAATGGTTGCATTTCATGCGACGTAACGAACGTTAATACGAGTAAGTATTAATTTTAATGTAATATTTATATTTTTTATTTATTTTATTTATTTTATTTATTTTATTTATTTTATTTATTTTATTTATTTTATTTATTTTATTTATTTTATTTATTTTATTTATTTTATTTATTTTATTTATTTTATTTATTTTATTTATTTTATTTATTTTATTTATTTTATTTATTTTATTTATTTTATTTATTTTATTTATTTTATTTATTTTATTTATTTTATTTATTTTATTTATTTTATTTATTTTATTTATTTTATTTATTTTATTTATTTTATTTATTTTATTTATTTTATTTATTTTATTTATTTTATTTATTTTATTTATTTTATTTATTTTATTTATTTTATTTATTTTATTTATTTTATTTATTTTATTTATTTTATTTATTTTATTTATTTTATTTATTTTATTTATTTTATTTATTTTATTTATTTTATTTATTTTATTTATTTTATTTATTTTATTTATTTTATTTATTTTATTTATTTTATTTATTTTATTTATTTTTTATTTATTTTATTTATATTTTAACAAGATTTTGTACAATTCCTATAGCGTTAACGTAATTGACTTCAGGGTTTAAATTTGCCATTTTTGAACATTTTCCGTTATTTACTTTCGCACTCAGAAAACACGCTCGGTTTATTAAACAAGATTGAGAAACCAGAGCACGAGCACAGCCCGAACGCATCCAATTTCAAATAAAGCATGCAAATAACACACCCTTTTTGTGCACATCACCTAAAACTGCAGCCCGTATCACAAACATGTCACTTTTAGCATGCTTTAGCCAATCATAATAAGTTATGGCTAATCATAATTTTTAATATTGGTTGAGAACCACTTAACACTTTCAGAACACTCAGAGCTTTTAAAATATCGACCAAATTAAATTTCGATGCTTCTAAATTTCTATCATTTAGAATATCGAACAAATAAAATATCGACCACTTTAAATGTCGTTCATTTAAAATATTTACCAAACAAAATATCTAACTAATACAATTTCGACCATTTTAAATGTCGATCATTTAAAATTTCGACAATATAAAATATCCTCTAAATAAAATGTCGACCACTTTAAATATCGACCATTTAGATTTTCGATCAAATAAAATGTCGACCTTCATAAATGTCGATTATTTAGAATTTTGACCGAATAAAAAATCGACTGAATAAAATGTCGACCTTTATAAATGTCTATATCATTTAGAATTTCGATAAAATAAAATATTGACTTAATAAAATATCGTCCACTTTAAATATCGATCATTTAGAATTTCGAATAAATAAAATATCCACCAAATAAAATGTTGACCATTTTAAGTATCGATCATTTAGAATTTCGTTCAAATAAAATATCGACTTAATGTAATTCGATCAATTAAATTTTCGACCTTTTTAATTTTTGGGAAAAATCATGCGCCTCTTATGAGCGTCTATATTTTGGATAGATGCGATTTTTTTAGCGCATAATGAAATAGTAATTTTTTTTTAATTCTTTATTTTAAGGCCATATGTGAAAAAGACATTTTTTTAAAACTCTCAAAAATTCTCTAAAATGAAAAATTATTTGGTGCTAACTTTTTTTTAAGAATGATAAAGCAGAATTCAAGGATCATCGCTCTTCTACTCATTTTCCATAATTTAATGCAAAACAAATAAAAATGAAGCAGAAAATACATAGTAAACTAGTGTGTTGTTTTCTAGTTCATTTAGCGGCCAGTATCTAGCATTGGCGTTACCTCCTGAAGAACTGACACACTCATGCGATGTCTGCGTATGCGTATGGTTCTCGCCAAACATATTGTTTGATATTAGGTCACGTGGGAGTTTCTTACATGACCTTAGTGACGTATTGAATAAAAAATTGCGTTTTTGTGTATATAATTACCCCAGTTGACGGTATTATTGTTTTAATATATACTTTAAATAAAAATTATTCCTTACTTTTCACATCAATTTGTCCGTCTGGCTTTTTCTGTCCAGTTTGATGATTTGGAGGTGGTTGATAGTAGGGATCTCCATATCTTGTAGCTGTTATTACAGGTACAAAATTCACCTGATTCCGATTGAGTTTATCTTCTTCGGCACTTACTTCTGAAGATTGCCAATATATTGCATATATAGATGCAGTGCAGCGTATTTTTAATTTTCCATGAGCAAAATGTTCTTTTGTTACAAGAAATTGTAACGTAATTTGTGAGAATTGCACTGTCGATTCATCCGTTTCCAGAGGACTTATTGTACGTACATGTGCATCATAAGGCTGCATAAAATTGTAAATAAATAATTTAATGAGTAAAATTTATTATAATAATTATAAATATATATATTTATGAATTTAATATTATAATAGTTAGTCAAATTTTTTTTTCAAATTACATTTGTAGCACTTCACGAAAATGATTTACTTAAAAAGTTAATTTTCAATAGGGTCGGTAAGTTTCTCGAAAAATGGCACATTTTGAAAAAAAATTTGAATAATAATAATAATAATAATAAATATGTGTACAAAAAATATTTGAAAATTCTTATTTGCAATTAATTAAATTTTTTTCAGCAATAATTACCGGCCTATCATTGATGAACCAAGTGAGATTAGTTGGAGGACTACTTTTACCAGATGTACATGTGACTTTGACTGAATCTCCAATTTTGTACTTTCGTTGCATTCCAGTTACAGTTGGATTTTCTTCAGGTAATTCTACAAAATTATAATAAATTTCATATATTTTTTAATTTTATTGTATTATTGCATTTATTATTCTCTTAAGAAAAACTTATAGCTTTATGGAAATTGACCTAAGAAGCAAAAAGTTGTTATAGGTTATGTTTATATGAAGTTATTAACCCTTAACTCGCATCATGGATCCAGAAGACCCGCGAACATTCGAGTACAGTACAAAAAAAGTAATTAATTTAATTTAAGTATTACTGGGTATTTTTAGGTTTTTGGGAAAATTCAAAATGGCGGATCAAATATGGCGGACGAATTTTCAAAAATTAAACGAACAGCATGAAAATCATTTCCCGGGGGTTTTCGGGGTCGCTGATTTTGAATCTTGAAAACACCTGAATAACGAGTTTCAAGTATAGGTTATCTGTTTATGGTAAAATCAGATTCCTATATATTTTTTACTCTCAGAAGGGCAGGAGACGAATTAAATGAAGAGAGACCGAATAAATTAAATTCACTCATTTATTGTTGACAATAATCTATTTGTCCACCAAATAATGAACCATCGTGCCGCTCACACACACCACCACATCCGTCCTACTCAACGATTCAGCGAGTTCTAAAATATGTCTGACCAGCAGACGAATTCGTCCACACCTGACACCAGGATCGGAGTGAGAAGGGGGCCCAAAGGCTGATCCCCACACAAGTAAAACCGTCAAATTTAAAAATATATATCCGCCATATTGGTTCCGGCATTTTGAATTTTGAAAAAGTAACATCAGATTTGTAATCAGCAACCCCAAAAACCCCTTAGTAACGATTTTCAAGCGATACTGAACGATTTTTTTAAAATTCCTCCACCATATTGGATCGGCCATTTTGAATTTTGAAAAACAGACACCGGATTTGTAATAAGTGATCCAGAAAACCCCCGAGTAACGATTTTCCAGCGAATATGTTGAAGTATATGAAAAAAAAAGTTGTATGGGTCCGAGGGACCCAGCTCAGGCAACTACGTACATAAGAGCTATAAAATAATGTATTAGAAAGAGTTTTACATTAAAAACAATTCTCCTTCTTTTTTTAAATGTACGTTATAGCATCAGCTTATCCAATTTGATAACGATTTTGAAAAAAAAATTTCTTAAATAGAAGTACATGAAAAAGCAAATTGACTTGGTCCGAGAGACCCAGCACTCAAAGGATAACCAAATAGAATATAGTGTTTTTTTTATCTTTAGTAGGTCTAAATAAAAATCATCATTTAAATCAAAAAATAGTAATTTCGTAGTTTCTAGAATATTTAGTTAAGAAAAAAAAATTTTTTTAAAGGAAAAACGTTGGGCATTTATTTTCTATTTTTAAAGCAAACCGTCTGGCCGGGCGCAGATCGAGTTATATAATAATTCAAAAGCTTAATTATATAACAACTACTAAAATTAAAATTTTTTTCAAAAATTGAACATTGAAAATTTAAATTTACTAAAATTGAAAACAATTGAAAACAATTCATACCAACTACTTTCATGTTGCCAGAAACTATAGCTGTATGAAATGATGGTGCATCAGCGGACACTTCACAACTGTATGTGTCTGCTGAGTCAATGTCCACATTATCAAGTGTAACTTGAGTTGCATTGCTTCTTTCTATCTGCAAAAAAAAAAAAATAAATAAAATAAATAAATAGTACAGTGTACATATTTATTCTAAACATGACATTCAACTTCTTTTTCTATTGATTTTTCATATTGATTCAAAGTTACTTACATTCACCCTTAAGTTTCCCATGGGAAATGTTTTGATTACTGGATATTCTTTAGGAGCAAAATGATAAAATTCACGTCTTGCTTTGTACCATTTAACGATATAGAGAGGATCGTCTTCTGTTTCGTACCAGCAAAATAATGTTACACTTTCCCCTCTTCTTACAGCAACTGGCACTTGAATTTGAACATCTCTCAAACCAAGACAAAAGCCTAAAAATCAAAATTGATTTTTACAGAAAATTTTTCTTTTAAACAGTTTTATTTATTAAAATAATTATAATATTGATAAAATTTTAATTATTTTGATAAATAGTTTGATAAAATTATTATATGAGACGCATATGAATATGCAATAAAGCTAATTTTTTAGAATTATGTTTTAATCGAATTTTGTTTTGTAGAATATTATTTTTGCAGAATAGTAATTAAAAAAAAATCTTAATTATGCAGAAAAATAATTGTACGGAATTTTAATTTTGCACATTATTCACTTATTCTAATTTTAATTCGAACGCATAATAATAATAATTCTTATTATTCTAAAAATAAAACTCGATTAAAATATAATTCTAAAAAATTAGCTTTAGTGCATATTCATGCGTCTCAATTATATCAGCACTGTAACAAATTATTCTAACTGTACTCGTTATTTATTACAATTTTAAAATAAAGTTTAAAACTTGCTTATCAAACAAAAAAAAATTTATTGCTATTTGTAAATAGCAAAAAAAAAATTTTTTTTATTAATATTCATACCTACGTTAGTATAGAAAACTATTATTGATTTATATTTATCAAAAAAAACAAACTATTTGTTAAAGAACCCTAATTCTGCTCCCTATCGGAAAGAGTTTTAAGCAATAGTTTGTGATTTTTATTCTGATGGTCCATTCCCTTATCGCTTGTCATCCCTCGGGATGAGTCAGAGAGAGTTTCGTGTTTGACTGTTTTGATATTCTGGATCAATGAACAAAAACTGACGACTTTATATTTTCTGTTATATAGATTCAATTTTTTCTGATTCTTTTAAAATTTCTCGCGAAAAACAATTTTTTTATTTTCATATATAAAATTTCAAAATTGCCAATTTTTTGCATATATAGAAATAAATATAATTTATAGCATTTTAATAATTTTTTTTAACTTTGTAAAAATTTTCAATGTTTGTACTAGAAAATATAGTACAAATAAAAATCGTGCCATCTAATTATTACAATTTTTTCAAATAATTCCATATTTTTAAAAAAGAAATTATTTAATTGTTACAAAAACAGAATATGTTAAAATTTACAACGTTTATGATCAACGATTTCTAAAGAAATATTTTTTTAAATGAAAAATTCTGTGAATTTTCGTCTGAAAGATATTTCATGAAATATTCATATTGATAAAGAAATTGTAAGAAAAATTTTTTTAGACAAAAAAATTAATAATGTTCCGTTTTTTTTTTTTTTAAATTTATTTTCTAATCATTTGGTCATAAAAACGGGAACTTAAGCATCGTTAAAAACTAGAATCAGTGACGCATATACTCTGATATTGTCGGTGAATTTTACAACGTTTATGATCATCGATTTAGAAGAAAAAATTATTTTTCCATGCAAATTATTATAATTTTTTGTCTAAACAAAATTTATGAAATTTTTTAAATAATTTTTTAATCAACAATATTTAAATAAAAATACTTTGTAGGTAAAATTTTTTTATTATTTTTCAGATGAAAATTATCTTTTTTTTCAATCGTTAATCATAAATGTTGTAAACTTCACTAACGTGTCTGATAGCTATAAAAATTAGTTTTTTTTTTTGTTAATAAAATTTTCAAATTAAAATGTTTGTATTATAAAAACGATATAAATTTTAATTAACCTTGATGTACAGTATAAAAATTTTGATACTAAAATTTAATATTTCGATATTTTTACAAGTGAAAAAATAAAAATTATGTTTGAACATTATTTTCTAATTTAAATGTAAAAATATTTTTAAATTGAATTTAATATTATAGCAATAATTATAGCAGAAGCATATCTAGCAGGAATTATTAATATTTTTTTTTAAAAAGAACGTACCCGTAACGTGCACTAGTAATAAAATACGGAATTCCATTGGTGTAAATTTAATTACTATTTTAATTAAAATTTCTTAATTTCGTGTAGACGAAATTTCTTTACAAATATTATTCGCATGACGATTTTATCTTAACACATCGTAAAATTTGAAATTGTGTAAAGAGTCATCTTTCAATAAAAAAAAAAGGTACAATGCTCGCAAACTATATTATGCACTACTTCAATGAATCTGACCAAAAATTCATCTAAGAATCAATTTTCCCATGAAAAGAAACGCGCGCAACTTTTTGCGCTTGCGTTTAGACTATCCTCACTATATTATGATTTTAGGGAGGCGAAATGCAAAATACAAATGAATATTAATTATGATCCAACATCAAAAATAATGATTTGTTATATCGCAGCAATTTATTACTATCAAAGTGCGACTATGTAACTTAGGGAATTTTGGTAGTTAGGAGAAACTACTCTCTGAATTTGAATCAGTGGTTATTAATTCAAATTAAAAGTAGGGATAATTCGGAGATTTAAAGAAAAAATCTTCAGAAGTCAGGGAATTTTTCTTTAATGGAACCACAAATTAAAACCTCCCTGAAGTACGCAACGTTTATCTTAAACGAAAAATTTTTTTTTAATAATTACATAAAACTCCTTAAAATAGGTACAAACTAATGAAAAACAACCAAAAATACAGTTTAGAAAAAAAAATTACACAAATTACACCCCAAACACCCCCTAAAATTTGAAAAAATTGAAAAAAAATCGAAAAAAATTCATTAATTTAAATCTAAATGCGGGACCAAAGATTTTATTGTTGTTTTTGCATCTTTATATGTCCCTTGGAATGTAAAAAAATTGTGGGCGAATTTGCTGATCCGCAACCCCGATTTTTTGACCCCTAAAGTTTGAAAAAATCCAAAAAAATCGAAAAAAATCGAAAAAAAATTCATCATTTCAATTCTAAATGCGGGACCAAAAATTTTATTGTTCTTTTTACATCTTTATATGTCCCTTGGTATGTAAAAAAATCGTGGGCGAAATTCATGATCCGCAACCCCGATTTTTTGACCCCTAAAGTTTAAAAAAAATTAAAAAAAATCGAAAAAAAATTCATCATTTTAATTCTAAATACGGGACCAAAGATTTTATTGTTCTTTTTACATCTTTATATGTCCCTTGCTATGTAAAAAAATTGTGGGCGAAATTCATGATCCGCAACCCCGATTTTTTGACCCCTAAAGTTTGAAAAAATCCAAAAAAATCGAAAAAAATCGAAAAAAAATTCATCATTTCAATTCTAAATACGGGACCAAAAATTTTTTTGATCTTTTTACATTTTTATATGTCCCTTGGTATGTAAAAAAATTGTTGGCGAAATTCATGATCCGCAACTCCGATTTTTTGACTCCTAAAGTTTGAAAAAAATTTAAAAAAATTAAAAAAAATCGAAAAAAAATTTATCATTTCAATTCTAAATACGGGACCAAAGATTTTATTGTTGTTTTTGCATCTTTATATGTCCCTTGGAATGTAAAAAAATTGTGGGCGAATTTGATGATCCGCAACCCCGATTTTTTGACCCCTAAAGTTTGAAAAAAATTTGAAAAAATGCAAAAAAATCGAAAAAAAATTCATCATTTCAATTCTAAATGCGGGACCAAAGATTTTATTGTTCTTTTTACATCTGGGGCATTTCATTTGAAAACGATCAGTCATGACTTAGATTTTTTTAATATTTCGTTTTTTTGTATTGTTTGGGGACTTAAATAAGTGTGAAAAATTTTAATTAAAAATCTTAAGTTTTTTTCAAGTTATTTACATTAACAAATTTAAGATACTTTTTTTCCTTTTCGCTATAACTTTTTCATTTTTCTTTGTACAGAAAAGTGTTTTTAATGTTTTTTCTTCAAAAATTGTTGAATTTTAAGAAAATGATTTTTATTTTTAATATTTTATAATTTTTATATTATTTATTTAAAAAAAAAATTTTTTTATTAATGTTTAAACCTGTTATCGGGCTAATTTCGATCTAAAAAAAATCATGAATATTCTTCAATATTATACAAATTACATATTAAAATTTGGTGAATGCATTATGTTTTGTTCTCGAGAAAAATTTTTTTGAAATTTACCGTGCATGGCTCTATCGGTCGCATCGGTCAGCGCTTGGGTTAAATCCCATGCTCCGCGCCGATAGAGCCATGCACGGTAAATTTCAAAAAAATTTTTCTCGAGAACAAAACATAATGCATTCACCAAATTTTAATATGTAATTTGTATAATATTGAAGAATATTCATGATTTTTTTTAGATCGAAATTAGCCCGATAACAGGTTTAAACATTAATAAAAAAATTTTTTTTTAAATAAATAATATAAAAATTATAAAATATTAAAAATAAAAATCATTTTCTTAAAATTCAACAATTTTTGAAGAAAAAACATTTAAAACACTTTTCTGTACAAAGAAAAATGAAAAAGTTATAGCGAAAAGGAAAAAAAGTATCTTAAATTTGTTAATGTAAATAACTTGAAAAAAACTTAAGATTTTTAATTAAAATTTTTCACACTTATTTAAGTCCCCAAACAATACAAAAAAACGAAATATTAAAAAAATCTAAGTCATGACTGATCGTTTTCAAATGAAATGCCTCATCTTTATATGTCCCTTGGTATGTAAAAAAATTGTGGACGTATTTGATTTTATTTTTATTCACTTTACAAAATTTTTATTTGTTTGAATTTTTATTAATTGAATTTTCATTTAATATAATAGGCATTTTGAAGAGTTTTTATCGTGTAGAATTTCATTACATAGAATAATAATTGTGTCAAATTAAATTCTACTAAAAGAAAATTCTAACTAATGATTTTAAAGCTTAATCATTTGTCATCATTTCTATTGCCTGTAGTCTAGATGCGTGTGTGGCGGGGATAGAACCGAGCGCGGATTTTCGGCTTCGTTCGGCTCAGATCGGCTCTTTGCTTGGCACTGGCCTCGCCGCTCTCCCCATCAGACCCCGGCGAAAGTCTATAACTCCTTGGAAATCTTATTTTTCTTTTCTCGACATATTCGTTCGCTCTCCACTCGGACCCAACTTAAACTTGCTTTGGTGAAACAGTGAAGCTTTATGTTTGAGTCAATATTATTTAGTGGTGATATGATCCTGAAAAATTCTGAATTTTTTTTCAGTGATTAAAATTTTAAATTTTTATCATGAATAAAATTGTAATGTCCATAATATTAAAATTTTTCAAAAATTTAAAATTTGTGTAATTATTATGTCAAAACTATTATAACCAGTTAGTAGAATATTTAAAAATGTATTAATTTATTTATTATTATGTAAATTAAAAACAAATATTCTAACAAAATTATTGAGTATTAATTAAAAATTAAAAATGTTCTACAATACATTTGTTTTTTAAAATCAAGATTTCAAAAAATGTTTAAAAATTTTAATATTAAAAACTTTATATTTATGTTATTCATGATAAAAATTTAAAATGTCCATGACATTTTCAGTTTTCCAATAACTGAAAAAATATCCGAATTTTTCAGGACCATGTCACCACTAAATAAAATTGACACAAATATAAAATATTTAAAATTTCACTGATCACCAAAGCGATTTTAAGTTGGGTCAGTGGAGAGCGAACGAATATGTCGAGAAAAGAAAAATAAGATTTCCAAGGAGTTATAGACTTTCGCCGGGGTCTGATGGGGAGAGCGGCGAGGCCAGTACTTAAGCAAAGGAGCCGATCTGGGCCGAACGAAGCCGAATATTCGCGCTCGGTTCTATCCCCGCCACTCACACATCTAGACTACAGGCAATGGCAATCACGTCTGTTTTATGATTTTTGGGACAAATGATTATGCTCTAAAAATAATTAGTTAGAATTTTCATTTTATAGTCTTTCATTTATCATAATTATTTTTGAGTCAAATTTTTATTTGTGTGAATAAGTATTGTGCAGAATTTTTATCAAACCAAACAAAAAAACAATTCACAGAAATTTTATTTGTTTGAATCTTTACTTGTCAGTATTTTTAATAGCTCCAATTTTCATTTAACATAATAATCATTTTCAAGAATTTTTATTGGTTAAGTAAAAATTCTGTATGTAGTATGACAAATTCTTAATATGGAGATTATGTCAAATAATAATTAGAACACATGTATTTTTTTCGATTTTTTCAAATTTTAGGGGTGAAAAAATAAAAGTTGCGGATCATGAAATTCGCCAAAACTTTTTTTACATTCCAAAAAACATATATAGATGCGAAAACAACAATAAAATCTTTGGTCCCGCATTTAGAATTGAAATGATGAATTTTTTTTCGATTTTTTTGGATTTTTTCAAATTTTTTTCAAACTTTAGGGGTCAAAAAATCGGGGTTGCGGATCATCAAATTCGCCCACAATTTTTTTACATTCCAAGGGACATATAAAGATGCAAAAACAACAATAAAATTTTTGGTCCCGTATTTAGAATTGAAATGATGAATTTTTTTTCGATTTTTTTCGATTTTTTTGGATTTTTTCAAACTTTAGGGGTCAAAAAATCGGGGTTGCGGATCATCAAATTCGCCCACAATTTTTTTACATTCCAAGGGACATATAAAGATGCAAAAACAACAATAAAATCTTTGGTCCCGCATTTAGAATTGAAATGATGAATTTTTTTTCGATTTTTTTGGATTTTTTCAAATTTTTTTCAAACTTTAGGGGTCAAAAAATCGGGGTTGCGGATCATCAAATTCGCCCACAATTTTTTTACATTCCAAGGGACATATAAAGATGCAAAAACAACAAAAAAATCTTTGGTCCCGCATTTAGAATTGAAATGATGAATTTTTTTTCGATTTTTTTGGATTTTTTCAAATTTTTTTCAAACTTTAGGGGTCAAAAAATCGGGGTTGCGGATCATGAATTTTGCCAACAATTTTTTTACATACCAAGGGACATATAAAGATCTATAAAGAACAATAAAATCTTTGGTCCCGCATTTAGAATTGAAATGATGAATTTTTTTTCGATTTTTTTGGATTTTTTCAAATTTTTTTTAAACTTTAGGGGTCAAAAAATCGGGATTGCGGATTATGAATTTCGCCCACGATTTTTTTACATACCAAGGGACATATAAAGATGTAAAAAGAACAATAAAATTTTTGGTCCCGTATTTAGAATTGAAATGATGAATTTTTTTTCGATTTTTTTGGATT